CGGAAGAATTGACTTACCCATTCGGCTGGGAGAAAAAGGCCAGGGACGACATATTGTCGTCAGATTCTTGGTCGTTGAGGAGTTAACCGCCTATAACATTATCCTTGGCCAGACGACCCTCAACGTAGCCAAGGCAGTAATCATCCCGTCTCTCATGCTCATCAAGTATGAGAGGGATGATGGCACTGTTGGTTCCCTAAATAGGGATTAGAAGACGGCCCGAGAATGCTATCTCTCAGCCGTCAGAGACACTGTGCCCCCAGGCGTCCAGGAACCAATAGACCTTGACAATGTCAAGGATGCCGACCCAGCGCCTGCCCCACCAGCAGCCGGGAAGAAAAGAAAGGCACCTCTGCTGGTGGAGGTAAGGAAAGAGAAGAAATAGCAATCAATGACCGGTGAACAGTCAGATGATCTCCGTCCCCAACCGGCTGGTGAACATATCGATATACCTCTGGACGACAGCCGTCCGGAGCGTACCGTGAAGGTTGGGACGGTTGCTTATGCTAAGTTGGGTGCAGACTTGCATCTTCTGCTGAAAGAATTCAAAGACATTTTTGCCTTTGAAGTGGAAGAGATGCCAGGCGTCAGCCCGGATCTTGCTGTCCACAAGCTCGCCGTGGATCCTAAAAAGAAGCCAATCCGGCAAAAGAAAAGAAACCACGGTGAGGAAAGAAGTCAGGCGGCAGCTGCCGAAGTCAAAAAGCTGCTAGACGCCAGGTTCATTCGGCCTTGTAACTTTCCCGACTACACAGACCTCAACAAGGCGTGTCCAAAGGACAGTTACCCGCTTCCAAAGATCGACAGTCTGGTCGATTCTACAGCCGGTCACGCCTTGATTAGTTTTATGGATGCCTACTCCGGCTTCCATCAGATACCCTTGTGGAAAAAGGATCAAGAGAAGACGGCCTTCGTCACTGATCAGGGGTTATTCTGTTATACTGTGATGTCGTTTGGCTTGAAAAATGCGCCTGCCACTTTCCAACGGATGATTAATACGGTATTCGTTAATCAAATTGGGAGGAATGTGGAGGCGTACATCGATGACATGATAGTAAAATCTAAGCTACAGACGGATCACCTTGCTGATCTCCGAGAAACATTCACCACCCTCAGGCGGCATAAGGTCATGTTAAATCCAAAGAAATGCGTCTTTGGTGTTGAGTCTAGAAAGATTCTCGGATTTCTGATTGATCAAAGGGGGATAGAGGCTAACCCTGAAAATATACAGGCGGTGATAGACATGAAGTCACCTCGTTCTGTCAAGGAAGTGCAGAGACTCACCGGTTGTCTGGCCGCCTTGAGGAGGTTCCTCAGTCGGTCAGGCGACAAGTGCCTCTACTTCTTCCAAGCAATTAGGAAGAAGGCCAGATTTGAATGGGGGGATGATGCTGAGGTGGCATTCCAAAGGTTGAAAGAGCATTTACACTCTCTACCAAGGTTGGTCAGTCCTTTGCCTAGGGAGACGTTGTACATGTATTTAGCCGTCTCAGATCATGCCCTCAGTGTCGTTCTCCTTGCTGAGCGAGACGGCGTGCAGCTCCCGGTTTACTTCATTAGCCATGTTCTTAAAAATGCTGAACTCCGGTACCCCATGGTTGAAAATTTTGGCCTTGCTTTGTATATGGCTTTCAAAAAACTGAAGCCTTACTTTTTGGCACATCCGGTGGCGATTTACACCGACCATCCACTGAAGCGGCCAATGTCTACCTTGACTCATTCGGGAGAATGTTGAAATGGGCTATTGAAATGCAAAGTCTTGAAATCACTTACGAACCAAGAAAGACAGTGAAAGGTCAGGCGTTTGCCGACTTCATTGTTGAAATAACCCGTCCGGTGGCTCCGGATAATCTTGATCAGGTTTGGAAAGTGTATGTAGACGGGAGCTCTACAAAGAACGGCTGTGGTGCAGGCGTAATCTACGAGTCTCCTGAAGGGGACAGATTTGAGTATGCACTACGCTTCAAATTTCAGGCCTCTAACAATGAGGCGGAATATGAAGCCCTGCTAGCCGGCATTCGCATGTGTAAGGCGGCAGGGGCCATGAAAATTGACGCCTACTCTGATTCTCAATTGGTTGTTAGCCAGTATGAGGGAAGCTACGAGGCTACTCATCCGGCTATGATCAAATATCTTCAGGCAGTCAAAGAAGAGACCAACGCACTTGAGGAATTCTGGCTGAGTCAAGTGCCTAGGTCGGAAAACAACCAGGCGGATGCATTGTCAAAACTGGCGTCTTTCGCCTGCCATGATACGCCTCAGTCAGTCTTTTGGGAAGTTCTTGAAAAGAGAAGCATCTATGAAGATCCCATTGGAATTCTGGACCAAAGCTCTACCTTGATGGATGGCATCCGGGCCTATCTCTCAAACGGTACACTTCCTGATTCGCCACAGGAAGCAGCCGTCTTGAAAAAGCGAGCTGCAAGCTTCGAGTTGAAAAATGGAGAACTCTTCAAGGCGGGGTTTCTAAAGCCTTTGTTGAAGTGTGTCACACCAGAAAAGGGGAAGGAAGTTCTCGAAGACTTGCACTCGGGATTCTGTGCTTCCCATATAGGCAGCAGGTCCCTAACCGTCAGAGCCAGACGACATTATTTTTGGCCCACTCTTAAGGCAGACGCCAAGGAGTTGGTAAAGAAATGTGACAAGTGCCAAAAATTTGGCAAACTCATTCACCGTCCGGCTACTGACCTGACGGCCATCCATAGCCCAATCCCGTTTGCAAAATGGGGCATGGACATTCTAGGTCCTTACACGCCTGCTCTAGGCGGAAAGCGCTACATCTTGGTGGCTGTGGATTATTACACCAAGTGGGTAGAAGCTGAGGCGGTTAAAAACATCAAAACCTCAGACGTGATTTCCTTCATCCGGAAAAACATTATCACCCGGTATGGGGTACCTATGTCTATGGTGTTTTATAATGGTCCTCAGTTTGAGACGCCTCAGCTAAAAACATGGTTGGGAGATTAGGGGATCTCAAGCTATTTTGCATCTATTGGCCGGCCCCAAGAAAACGGCCAAGTTGAAGCCTTCAATAAACTCATCTTAGATGGCATTAAGAAGAAAATAGAAAGAGCCGGTGGCTTATGGGAAGAAGAGTTAATCCATGTCATATGGGTCATCCGGACAACAGCGAAGGGGGCAACCGGTGAAACCCCATTTCTTAGGTTTATGGTGTTGAAGCCGTCTTGCCCATTGAACATTACGAGCCGACTCTCAGAGTCATGCTATATGATGAGGAGGCAAACTGGGAAGCAATGCGCCTGGCATTGGATTCACTCCTAGAACGCAGGGGCAATGCTGCCTTGCGTCATGAGATTTACCGTCTGAGAATGACTAGAGCCTACAATAAAAAAGTACACAAGCGTCCCTTGAAAGTTGACGACTTAGTGTTACAAAAAATGGAGGCAACCGGTAGGGCCAATGAGCTAGGGAAGCTAACTCCAAATTGGGAAGGCCCCTACCGGCTCTATGAAGAAGTAAGGGACGACACCTACAACCTGGAAACTCTAGACGGCATGCGCCTGCCTAGAACTTGGAATGTAGACAATCTGAAAAAGTACTACTTCTGAGAATGTAAATTTTTTGTAAATAGTGAGTCAGTTAATGAAGATTCAGACTTTGTTTGCGAAATTGATTTGTTGTTTTTTTATTATCCATCCGGGTAATACCCAGACGGGTTTTTCATTTACCTAACTAAGTTCGATACTTAGTAAAGGTTACATTTGTTTGACTGCCTGGGTAATACTCGGATCCCTTGTTTATTTAAGTTTGATACTTTGTTTATTTAACTAAGTTTGATAATCCACCTGGGTAATACTCAGACGGATTTTTCATTTACCTAAGTTTGATACTTGGTATGATTCAATAATTGCCTGTCCGTCTGGGTAATACCCAGACAGACTCGTTTGTTTAAACAACTAAGTTCGACACTTGGTGTAAATCGGCCAATGCTCCGATTAAAAACTAAGCACAAAAACGCTTAGTAGCTATACAACCGGTCCTAAACAAGACCAAAAGCTGAATTGGCCAGATGGTTGCTCATTTTATAAAATCGCCTGTCCCAGCATGGACAAAGGCGTCCGGAAACACCCCTCCGGGTGCAATCATCGCAGAGAACAGACTATTTGTCGGTTCTACGTACTCATGCAGACGACAAAAATTGAACGACCGAATTGGTCAACTCATAGCTGTCTGACCAGAATGATCTGTGATGAACAATCAAGTTACCAAATACCGGATGCCCTGGGGCATCAATCGGTTTCCGGCTGAAGTTCTCACTTAGGTTATTTATTCCAAAATTGCACTCTCTATCCCAATTAGGGCAAAAGAGTTGTTCAATGGCTATGAAATCACTACCAAGACGAACAAAACGCCGCCTGGGTAGTAACGGAAACACCTGTTGGTGAACGGCTGTGCACTTGGTTTGGGGCAATCACTAATGTGATTGATTGACTTACAAAACGTATCATGCTCTTTGCAGCATCAGACGTTTCCAAGACAATCAACCAACTCCACTTGAAACCAATCACACAGCCGTTCAGGGGCAAGGACAACCGGACTATTGATTAGTTAGGCAAAAAATCGCCGCATGCTTTTGATAAGTTCGGCAAAAATGAAAAATTAAAATTCAGACGCAAAATGATCAAAAATGACTCAGTCGGTGCATTTCATAGAAGTCCACCCAACCAAACGGTTGTAGTGGATTAAATGTTAACCGGACCTCGTCTGGGAGAAAGAGAAATTGTCAATTAACCCGACTCCTTAGCCGGTAAATACAAATATACTTGGCACGCAGGCCGAAAAAAACAAGTTTTGGCATACTTCCGCTGAATAAATAAAAGAAAAAGATAAAAAATAGAGATTGGCATGCTGCCGCTGAAAGGTCACTTCTTGCCTGCAGACGGTGCCTCCTGGTCCTCGTCCTCGTCATCTAAGGGTATATCTTGTGCTTCACCCGGACCAGGTAGCTGAGGCGCGGAAGGCTCGTTGTTGGAGTTGACTCAGGCTTCAAAAGAGTCAGGCTCTGGCTCGCCTCTATCCCTTAAGTACACCACGTACTCGGCATAGCTGTGAGCCAGTGCCCAGACGTTGTAATCCGCGTTTGGGTAAAAAGCAGCCCAGGCGATCTTCATACGGGCGTCATTGTCAGCGTCACTTTCAGCAACTAGGCGGTTCTGCTCCGCCTCCAGGGTTACTGCAAAGTTCTTCTGAGCCTGAGCAGCCTCCTTCTCTAGCTTCTCAACCTTGGCCTTCAGTTTGGTGTTCGCTTCAGAAACACCCTGAAGTGTGCCAAGGTCCGCCTGGGCCTTCTTGAGCGCCTCATCAGCCTTTTTGGCGCCCTCATCCGCCTTCTCCCGGGCCTCCTCTGCCTTCTTCTGGGCTGTCTCAGCATCACTTTCTCGCTGTTTGGCTGTCTCTAGATCCGCCTCCAGCTGCTGGATTCTGGACGCCTGTGTCATTATTATTGCTTTAGTTTTAAGTTCATTTACGATAGTTGAGTGTAAAGCAATATTATCAGCGTCTATGGCGGACTTCTTGGCCTTTTTACCTCTTCCTGTTTGCGGGAATAAGGACGTTTGAGCCCGTCCACTCGCAGCATAGCCTGCAAAAAAGCAAGCGGTATGAGTATTGCAGGCGGGATAAAACACTTGGAAAAAATAAAATTGGCAGGTTTCTTACCTCAGCCAGAAGGGATAGAATGCATTCCAAATTGAACGTCTCTATCCCAGGGATAATGTCTTTATCCCTCTTCCGGACGGCGTCAAGCATGGCCTTGGCATGCTTCTGGACGTCTGGCCAGCGGGGAGATTGATCTGCACCACAATCAATACGTGGTGAGTGCGAAACTAAGGCAGCTCCTATTCGTTGCCGACCGTCTGAAGATGATGTCTGTTGAGAGTGGGATTTCACCCGCAAAGGCCACCCCAACTCAAGCAGGGATTCAAAAGGGTTCTTACCTTCATAGCTAGCCAAGCGGGAACCGCTTGCAGGCGTGGTGAACCCCCCCGGTCTCTGTTACGGGGTTAACGAGGTCGAGACCCAAGCTGCCGCCCACCCTCTCGATCCGCCCCGCTATCCGTAATTGTTGTTTCCCGGCTGAGGCGCCAGGAGTTGAGGCGGAGGTGGATTTCTTCGATTTGTGGAGAATGGAGGGGGTCTCCTCCCTAGCCCGTTTGAGTTGCTTCTTAAACGCCTTTCCAACCTCTCCCCCCTGCAACAATAACCAAATTAAAGTCAGCATCCGGGAAAAATAGTCTTTAAGACCAAATGAAGAAAGGGACAGACGTTTATTACCTTGGCCTTGACCTCAGCCGCAGCTTTTTTCGCAAGCTGTTTGCGGATGAGTGCGGAGGATCGCTGGGGAGTCTTCTCTGTTGTCAACATGTTTAAAGCTTCTTCTGCAAAAAAGAACGAGACTGATTAGTATCATAAATCAAATCTGGTACAAAAGCACTACAGACGGATATAAACTCAAGCGCATACGTTTGGTAAACATGTGCCCTAGCCCACAGTCAGTTAGGAAACACTCGTCCCTGAACCAGGCGCTTTTTGGGATCCAGTTCTTGGGGACCTTTATTGTTTCCCCGGTTGACAAGGTTGCGTCTGTGAGGCCAAAAAAGTCTGCCTCAATGATCTTGTCAAAATCATCCTCTGGGATCCAAGGAAGAGCACACTTCCGGCCCAGCAAGTCGGGCTTCTTATTGTACAGACGGAATTCATAATTCTCCCGTCTGCTTGGAGCTGACATCAAGTAGAACCTGTGTTTCCAGCTGTCGAATTTAGAGACCTTTTCCAAGGTCATCATGTATTGGGGATGCGTGGTTAGAGTATACCACGCCCTCCAGCCACATGGGCTTCTGCTAAGATAATGCATACTAGAAAAAGCCTCCCAGCCGGGGTTAAGCCCCTGGAACTCGCAGGCGGCAACATACCCCAAAATGTTCGTCCAAGAGTTGGGGGTAAGTTTCCAGACTCCGAGGCCGTAGCCTCTCAAACTCCGCCTCATAACATCCAAAATAGTTGTTGGCGCTCTCTTGATCGTCCTCCCAGGCGATGATGCCATTCTCATGCGGCACCCGGATCCTATACCCGTCCCCTAGCGGGTGCATTTGAGTAAAATTCTTCAAGTTTTCCTCCATTTGGATCCGGTCCTTGGAGGAGACGTGAATGTTGAAGGGATCATCCTTCTCCCTCCATTTTTTCCTTTCTTCCTCACTATCCTGAAGCGGGGGTAAATCGTCACTGCTCTCAGAGGTAGAGGCGGAGCTGTCACTCTCCGTCTCCTCCTCATTTTGGGTCAAGGGGACAGAGACGGCCTCATTGCCGCCTTGGTCACATTCCTCCAAGAAGGAGTCACTGGGAGTTGAGGGGGCGCGCGGAGGGGATCTCTCTAGAGCCATCTGATCTCCCTAAAAAGACGTTTCTCCCTCAGGCGTTTGGCCGCTTGAGCCTTCGCTTTTGTAATTTGGATCAGTTGTCGTCTGCATTATCCGAGCCATTGTGTCCTGCACAGACACGTAACTGGTCGGAATCCAAGGCAAAGGGTGGTCCCAACACTCCGAGACGGCACTCCCAGTCCTAGACTCAGCCGTCCCTGGTGACCGGCTGGACTCTAACCTAGGCTATGCCGTGTGTGTTGGTGATGCATCCATTTATTGCAAGAAATATGTACAAGCGGTGAAAAAAGAAAAAGAGCTGAGAGAGGTAGAGACGGTACCTTTGGATGTGATATCTGAAGATAGGCGGGTCCGGCTGGGTTGATGGAGAACAAACTTTCTTACTTGCGCCTGACTCAAACGGATGACTTCTACTCTCTCAAAGTTCTCTCTAGAAAATTTTTGTAAACGTACAAAATTATGAGGGTAAAATGGCTATATATATAGGGTAAATATGGGGACATTCTCGTAATTTACTCGGAAGGTGAACGGTTACTCTTTAATGGTAAAATTACCACCAATCGGAGCGTGACACGTGTCACAGATGCCACATGGCGTGCCGCGTCACATTTAAGAGGGGCAAATGTTTAGGGTAATTTTACCCCGCCACGTGGTTCAATCAGAGGATGACACGTGTCAGCCTCAGGATTGTCCAAAGTAGACCAATCCCTGCTTGACACGTGTCACTCCAGAAATTAAGGGAAAGAGGTGGCCTTCAGGCCCAAATCCCGAGAAAGTCATAAAACGGCACAGCCCACCAATGATTAGGGTTCAGTGACCTAATCAGGGGCACAAATCCCAAAGTCCTTATAAATAGGGAGATGTCCCTCTTTTTGAGGGCACGTTTTACCATTTATTACAACAGTATTCTCTTACATCAGAGAACGACCTGAACTTAGAATCCGAACAGATACCCACCTAAATTTCCGCACTTTATTCTCTCTCTTCAAGTTTCTAACTTGTGCGTCGGAGGCGGAGCACCACCCAACCGGTGTCTCCGTTTGTTTTGCAGGTATAGCTCACTCCGGATCAGTCTTCGTGTTGTAACTTTCCTGAGGGACAAAAACACCCAAAACAGCTAGCATAATTTACAAAATTTAGCAAGAAGACAAGTTTGGGAAATGAAGACATATTCTCATTAATCATAACTTTGAAGTATTTACAAAAATTCTTAGAAGTAGTACCTTTTTGAGTTGTCTACATTCCAAGTTCTAGGAAGCCACCTGTCGTCTGGTTCTTCCATTCGGTAGGTGTCGTCTCTTAATTCATCATAGATTCGATAGGGGCCTTCCCAATTTGGGGTTAGCTTTCCCTGCTCATTCGCCCTACCGACTGCCTCAATTTTCCGTAACACAAAGTCCCCCACTTTGAGAGGACGCTTGTGTACTTGTAGGCCCGAGTCATTCTCAGACGGTAAATCTCATGGCGCAAGGCAGCATTGCCCCTGCGCTCTGGGAGTGAGTCCAATGCCAGCCGCATGGCCTCCCAGTTTACCTCTTCGTCATATAACATGACTCGAAGAGTTGGCTCATAGTGTTCGATGGGCAGGACAGCTTCTGCACCATACACCATGAGGAATGGGGTTTCTCCAGTTGCCCCTTTGGCGGTTTTTTTGATGGCCCAGAGGACGTGTGGTAATTCATCCGCCCAAAGTCCACCAGCCCTCTCTATTTTCTTTTTGATCCCGTCTGAGATTAACTTGTTGAAGGCTTTGACTTGGTCGTTTGCTTGGGGCCGGCCGACTGATGCAAAGAAACTTAAGACCCCTTGGTCTCCCAACCAAGTCTTGAGCTGAGGCGTCTCAAACTCAGGTCCGTTGTCAAAAACCATAGACATAGGCACCCCAAAACGAGTGATAACATTCCTCCATATGAAGGAGATAACATCTTTAGTCTTGATGTTTTTTACCGCCTCCGCCTCTACCCACTTGGTAAAGTAATCCACAGCTACCAATATGTAGCGCTTGCCGCCTGGTGCTGCTACGTAAGGCCCAAGTATGTCCATGCCCCATTTGGCAAAGGGTATTGGGCTGTGGTTGGTCGTCAGGTCTGTGGCAGGACGATGGATGAGCTTGCCAAACTTTTGGCACTTGTCACAATTTATGACCATTTCCATGGCATCCGACTCCAGAGTAGGCCAGAAATAGAGCCGCCTGGCCTTGGCAGCTAGGGACCTTCCGCCTATATGTGAGGCGCAGAAACCCGCATGAAAATCTTCGAGGACTTCTTTACCCTTCTCTGGGGTAACACACTTCAACAGGGGTTTCAAAAAACCAGTTTTGAAGAGTTCTCCTTGTCTCAGCTCGAAGTTTGCCGCTTTCTTCTTCAGAACAGCCGCCTCCTTGGGTGAATCAGGGAGCGTGCCGTCTGCAAGATAGGCCCGGATGTTGTCCATCCAAGTAGAGCTTCGGTCAAGAATTCCAATGGGGTCTTCATTAGATATACTTCTCTTTTCCATGACCTCCCAGAAAACTGACCGAGGCGTTTCACAGGAGGCGGATGATGCCAATTTTGACCGGGCATCCGCCTGATTGTTTGAAGATCTGGGCACTTGAGTTAGATGGAACTCCTCAAGTGTCCCGACTTCATCTTTGACCACCTGCAAATATTTTATCATGGCCGGATGAGTGGCCTCGTATATTCAATTGACCTGGAGTACGACCAATTGAGAATCAGAGCAGGCGTCAATTTTCTTTGCCCCTGCCACCTTGCAATACCGAATGCCAGCTAGCGGGGCCTCATATTCGGCCTCATTGTTAGAGACCTGGAACTTGAACCGCAATGCATATTAGTACTTATCTCCCTCAAAATATTGACAGATAATCCCTACACTGCAGCCGTTCGTAGTGGAGCTCCCGTCCACATACACTTTCCAAACCTGGTTAGTATTGTCCGATGCAACCGGACTTGTCATTTCAACAATAAAGTTGGCGAATGCTTGCCCCTTTATTGCCTTCCTTGGTTCGTAAGTGATTTCTAATCCTTTCATTTCAATCGCCCATTTAAGCATTCGTCCAGAAGACTCCAAGGTTGTGAGCGGCTGCTTGATCGGTTGGTCAGTATAGACCTCTACCGCATGCGCTAAGAAGTAGGATTTTAGCTTCACGATGGCCATATAAAGGGTAAGGCCAAATTTTTCAACCATGGGGTACCGAAGCTCTGCGTTCCTAAGAACATGGCTAATGAAATACACCGGGAGCTGGATGCCATCTCTTTCAGCTAAGAGAACGGCACTGAGGGCATGATCAGAGACGGCTAAATCCATGAAGAGCTTCTCTTTGGGCAAAGGGCTAACAAGCCTCGACAAAGAGTGCAGATGAGTTTTCAGCTTTTGAAAGGTCGCCTCTGCATCGTCCCCCCATTCAGAGTTGGTCTTCTTTTTTATTGCCTGGAAGAAGTAGAGACACTTGTCACCTGATCGACTGAGGAATCTCCCCAAGGCCGCCAAGCAACCTGTTAACTTTTGCACTTCCTTCACAGTACGGGGCGACTGCATGTCGATTACCGCCTGTATTTTCTCAAGGTTGGCCTCTATTCCCCTTTGGTCAATAAAAAATCCGAGAAACTTCCCAGACTCAACACCAAAGACACACTTTTTTGGGTTTAGCATGACCTTGTGCCGCCTGAGTGTGGCGAATGTCATCAATGTACGCCTCTACATTCCTTCCGATTTGATTAATGAAGACCGTATTAATCATTCGTTGGAAAGTAGCAGGCGCATTCTTCAAACCAAACGGCATCACCGTATAACAGAACAACCCCTGATCGGTGACGAATGTCGTCTTTTCTTAATCTTTTTTCCACAGGGGGATCTGATGGAAACCTGAATAGGCGTCCATAAAACTCATCAAGGCATGTCCGGCTGTTGAATTGACCAGACTGTTGATCTTAGGCAGTGGATAGCTATCCTTTGGACATGCCTTATTGAAGTCTATGTAATCAACACACATGCGCCAAGTTCCATTCGGCTTTTTACTAACACAACGTTAGCTACCTACTCAGGGAAATTGCACGGCCGAATGAACTTGGCGTCCAGCAGCTTTTTAACTTCGGCGGCTGCCGCCTGACTTCTTTCCTTGCCACGGTTTCTTTTCTTTTGCCGGATGGGCTTCTTTTTAGGATCCACGGTGAGTTTGTGGACAGCGAGATCCGGGCTGATGCCTGGCATCTCTTCCACTTCAAAGGCAAAGATGTCTTCTATGAGTCTGAACATCTAGTGCAGGCTCTCTCCCAGCTTAGCAAATGCAACCGTCCCCACCTTAACCGTCCGCTCTGGGCGACTGTCGTCCAGAGGGATATCAATGTGTTCGCCAGCAGGCTGGGGATGGAGATCATCTGACCGTTCCCCGGTCAGTGATTGCTATTGTTTTTCTTTTTTGACCACCACCAGCTAATCACTTTTTCTTTTCTTTCCGGCTGGTGGGGCCGACTGTTCTTCCTCGACATCGTCGAGGTCGATTGTTTGCTTGCCCCGGCCGGATGCTGCAGTCGCAGGCTTGACGTCCGAGAGATAACACTCTCAAGCCGTCTTCTGGTCCCCATTGAGGGAACCAACTGTTCCATCATCCTTCTCATATTTGAGCAGCATTAAAGCAGGGATGATGACGGATGTACACTCATTTAGAGTGGGTCAGCCAAAGATGAGGTTGTAATCTATGAGTTCTTCAACCACTAGGAAACGAATGGTCATGTGCCGACCGTCTCCCCTGTTCCCTAGGAGGACGGGTAAGTCAATTCATCCGACTAGGTGCACAAGTCCTCCCCCAAACCCAACAAGGGTGTGAGAGACCTTTATCATGCTATCCGGTTTGTATTTGAGATTGGATAAGCATTTGAGGCTGATGAGTTCCGAGGAGCTTCCTGTGTCAATCAAAATTCGACCAACCAATTGGTTGGCCACCTTGCATTCAATGACCACAGGGTCATCATGCGGTCGACGGACTTTGCCTTTGTCCTGCTCGGTGA